CCCTGGTCCCTGTCCTGCGACCGACCGCACCCGACCGGCCCCCCTCAGTTGTTCTCCAACGCCTCTCTCAAGCCGGCACAGGAAGCCACAGCCGCGCACTCACCAGCTAATAGGGCCGGTCCCTCGCTGTCTGCCATCGCCACTTAGTGGGTCGGCCCCCACTCCATAAACCCCGACCGGCCCAGCCCACCGAAGGCCCCCGGCAACTCTGAAGCTGGCCTTAAAAGCAACCTCTACAACTCACCTACACTCCACGGCGCCCCGTGGGAGACACTTGGAGATAGGCGATTGGAAGGAGCTAACTACCTGTTTCCCGAAATAAGCACCTACCCATCAAACTAAGCCCCAGCAGGATGCTCTGAGCCATGCGCGCGATAGAAGTCCCAGCGAAAATGAGCCCTAGTCGACGGCGTGGCCACGGCGGTCTGCAGCAGGCGCATGCGTGCTGGTCGGGAGCAGGGAAAGAGCGCAGCAGCCTTCTCATCCGCCCGTCGCGACAGTCCTGTGGCTCACGCCGGACGGATCCGGCGCCGGTGCGTCTAAGGAAACACGAGTCGAAGACATTCAGGACTGCGACACCGGGGTCTTGCGCCGACGAGTGATCGACTGATGTTCCAGAGAGCGCCACGACACTTCCTGAATAAATCGTCAGTAGGTAAATGTAACAACACGCGCTAAAGGAGAGAGAGAGAAAAAAAATAACAGATTACAATTATAGAATATAACATATAACCTTGCATTAGAGGAAAATAAACATATAAACCATTAATATATTCACTAGGGGGAAAAACAGATTATAAACGCGACCCCTTTATAGTCTCTTAAAGGCCCACTCGTACCGTACTTCACTGTGCACTGCCGTCCAGCCTTCGCGTGGCGGGCCTTGCGCTGGGCGCCAGCTGAGGAGCTGTCCGGGCTCTGGCCACGGTCTTCCCGGGTCACCCTACAGTTAAACCTACCCGCGAACACACCCAACCGAGAGTGGCAGCGCCCACCGTGCCTCCTGATTTTTAAACCGCCCAACGCGAGGCAATATTGAAAAGGTTGGGTCCCTACAGTGCAGAGGGTGTCCGGGATAGAGAATTAGGGAACTTTCACACAAAGACGCCAGCAATACACTTGTGGAAAATGGGTATTAGAGACTAGAACAGAATCTGGAGAAACAGGCGGTATGGCAAGAGCGCTCTGGAGGGTGGTTTGTGGGCAAGGGACGGTGAGGCTTAGGAATCATGGCCACAATGGTTGGTCAGTAGACACTGGCAACCACGATTAAGGCCAAAAGAAAATCCCTTGTATCTCAGAAGGATCCTTTGTATGCAATACTCACAATCCACCCATACATTTGTTTTTGTGAATACTATGATATAGGGGGTCAACTTTCTTTTTTCCCCATATAGATAATGATCCCTCTAGCATTATTTGAAGTCAATCTCTTCCCCATTTGTTAATATTTTGTAAGGAATTTTACATCTTGTTGTAAACCAGTAGATTAAGGGGATTCGGACACCAGAATCCAATCAGTCAAATTAGTTTATTGATACCTGCGCAGGGGCTGTCACCATTCCACGCAAGGAGGGAGAACAGCCCCGAACCAAGCCTTTGCCCTTTGCGGTTTTTAATAACCTAGGGGCTGGCAGCTATGCAAGGCGGGCAATCACAGAAGCAGAACTTCGCGTTAGTCGTTAATCAAGTGAACAATGGAAAGGTACACTGAGGGACAAGGGACTTTTCTGGAACAGGACCTCTCTATTCTTTTGGGGAACAGGCTCCTGACTCCCTCCTCCCTCTTCTGGGAACTTTTCTGGGAGCTTTTTACACGGTTGGGACCTTTTACTAATAGTTAGAGCAAGACTGACTCCATTTAGATTTACAGGAGCCATCTTAGTCTGTCTACTTCAACCTATGTTCATAGGAGATACTAGTCTGTATTTTTAATTTAAATAATTTATCAGTTTTGGTGTCAGTATTATGGCCTTTAGATAATAAGCTGAAAAGCATTTACTTCTCCTCTATCATATAAACAATTTGTCCATGCTTTATATGATTTCTTCTTTAACTGTTTGTTAGAATTAACCAGAAATATAACTTGGGCCTAGCCTTTGCTTTGTGGGATGGTTTTAAATTATAAGCTCAGTTTTTAACTATCCAGATATATTTATATCTTCTTGAGTTAGTTTGGATGAATTATGTTTTTCAAGGGATTTGACTATTTTGTTTAATTTGTTGAATTTGTGAAATATTTTCAGTAATATGTCCAGACAATTTCAAGGGAGGGGGTGTTCTACATTTTTCTTGATTACTCTTGCTAGGTATATACCATTTTAATTAACTTTTTTTTCCCCTTTCACTTATTTTTTTTTATTTTGGCATATTATGGGGGTACAGATTTTAAGGTTTCAATAAATGCCCTTTCCCCCCACACACACAAGTCTGAGTTTCCAGCATGACCATCCCATCTTCCTAATAGGGCCGGTCCCTCGTGTCTGCCTCGGCCCACTTAGTGTCTTCCCCACTCCACTAAACCCCGACGCCGGCCCAGGCCACCCGAAAGGCCCGCGGCAACTCTGAAGCTGCCTTAAACAGCAACCTCCTACCACTCACCTACCACTCAACGGCGCCCTGTGGAGACACTGAGATAGGCGATTGGAAGGAGTAACTACCTGTTTCCCCAAAAATAAGACCTACTCATAAAATAAGCCCCAGCAGGATGTCTAAGCAAGTGCGCGATAGAAGCCCCAGCCCGAAAATGAGCCCTAGTGACGGGCGTGGCCACGGCGCGTCTGCACAGCGCATGCGTGTCGGCGCGGAGCGGGAAGACCGAGCAGCCCTTCTCATCCGCCCGGGACAGCTCTGTGGCTCCACGGGAGAGATCGGGCCGGTAGGTCTAAAGGAAACAGAGTCGCAAGACATTCAGGATGGGATTCGGGGTTTGGAGAGTGATGATGATGCTCCAGAAGAAGACGACGTCACTCTATTTGAATAAATGTAGATGGTTGTACCGTACTTAAAAAAAAATAACACATCCCCTGAAAATAAGCCTAGGGCATCTTCTTGAGGAAAAATAAATATAAACCCCTTATTTTGGGGGAAACACGGTATAACCGACCCTTTATAGTCTCTTAAAGCCCACTCGTCCGTACTTCCACTTGTGCAGCTGCCGTCGGCCTTGCGTGGCGCCAGCTGAGGAGCGTGTCCCGGGCTCTGGCCACGGTCTTCCCGGGTCACCCTACAGTTAAACCTACCGCGAACACACCCAACCCGAGAGTGGCGGCGCCCACCGTGCCTCCTGACTCTTTTAAACCGCCCAACGCAAGGCAATATTGAAAAGGGTTGGGTCCCTACAGTGCAGAGGGTGTCCGGGATAGAGAATTAGGGAACTTTCACACCAAAGACGCCAGTAATACACTTGCGGAAAATGGGTATTAGGAGACTAGAACAGAATCTGGAGAAACAGGCGGTATGGCAAGAGCGCTCTGGAGGTGTGGTTTGTGGCAAGGGACGGTGAGGCTTAGGAATCATGGCACAATGGTTGTGCAGTAGACACTGGCAACCACGATTAAGGCCAAAAGAAAATCCCTTGTATCTCAGAAGGATCCTTTGTATGCTGAATACTCACAATCCACCCATACATTTGTTTTTGTGAATACTATGATATAGGGGGTCAACTTTCTTTTTTTCCCATATAGATAATGATCCCTCTAGCATTATTTGAAGTCAGTCTCTTCCCCAATTTGTTAATATTTTGTAAGGCATTTTACATCTTGTTGTAAACCAGTAGATTAAGGGGATTCGGACACCAGAATCCAATCAGTCAAATTAGTTTATTGATACCTGCGCAGGGGCTGTCACCATTCCACGCAAGGAGGGAGAAGCAGCCCCGAACCAAGCCTTTGCCCTTTGCGGTTTTTTATAACCGAGGGGCTGGCAGCCATGCAAGCGGGCAATCACAGAAGCAGAACTTTGCGGTTAGTCGTTAATCAAGTGAACAATGGAAAGGTATATTGAGGGACAAGGGACTTTTCCTGGAACAGGACCTCTCTATTCTTTTGGGGAACAGGCCTCCTCGACT